AGTGCTGACATCCGGAAGAGCTTTGGTGTAAAGCCTTTGCTTCCCCAGATTGAGAAGTCACAGCTGCGATAGTTTGGTGATGTGTTGCGAATGCCTGCAGAAAGGAAGGCTAAGCAACACTTCCTTGCAAATCCGACTGGCAAAAGGCGCAGGGGACGGCCAAGATTAACCTGGTGCAAACGTATGGAAGGAGTCTTTTCGAGACTGCATTTGTCTTTTGCCGAAGCTGAAACTCTGGCAGGGGATCAGTAACGTTGGATGCACTGTCTGACGCGTCTGCTTCCGCGACCGGAAAGGAGAAGCGGCGATGGAAGATGAAGAAGATGCATGGTTTTCTATTAACTGGGGAGCTCGCTAGGGAGATGTTTTTATCTATCATTCAACATTTTTCACTATTTCCTTCTCTAAAGCAGCGCTGAAGCTGGCAAAGATGATGGTCTCATTCAAGAGGGAAGATGCAGATCAAGATATCGGACTAGATATGTTACTATCCTGTTTAGCGGTAAGGGTTTTGTCACCTGAAGGCTTCCTTATACTTCAAGGCTGCAAAAGCCGGGTCTGTATCTTAATGCCCTGAAGTCTAAAGTTATGAGGAACCCATGAAGAGCAGTCTACTAATAGAACAGAAAGATGAAGCGGTATGGGTTGTCGATCAGTTCAAGGATCTCAGTTCTATCAACTCCAACGATGACAGCATCCAGTCAGAGTTGAACAGTAGAATCGCTTTCGCCTCCAGTGCCGTTGATAAGCTGTTCAATATATTCAACCTTGGCTGGGAATGGAGTAATCCTTTCCCCCAATGTCCGCCTGTACCTTATCTCTGTCAGGTAGTTTCACGGGCAACCTGAAACCAGTTGTACTAACGAGGGACCAAGGAAGATGGTTATGCTGCATACTGCGGTTTGGCTTCGGCGCATAATGAGGGTTAAGTTTCGGGAGCGCGTAAAAAATCTCTATCTTGTTCTGGGCAGTGGTGTCGACAGGCAGTGATTGAGAACAAATCATTTATTCCAGCCTAGTAGCTTTTAATACGGGAGCCGAAACTCGGCAAATGTCGGCCAGGAAACTAACATACAGCGATGATGAACAAGGTAAAGGCATATTCTTTTCTTTCGGAGCGGAATTACCCATTGCCTTATAGCAGAGGTGCTGTTAAGCTGTGAATACAGCGGACATCTGAAACCTGAGACGTTCTGTTTATGCACACATTCAATACCCACAAACCATGTTGGATCATGTTCTTCAACCCCCTCTTTTACGGAATTTATTATACAGTTGGGAAAATTCATTTCGACGCAGCAGCTAGGTGACAAGCATGAAAGCGTATGATCTTTTGCTTTCTTTCCACATTTAGTGATATCAACGGATATTGGTTAGATGGTTATGGTGCAAAATACGTGATCGGTGACGTAATGCTTTAAGTTAGTGAAGAGAACATTTTTAATGCCTAGCCTACCGTCATCAGAGCATTTGGCCAGTTGATTCAAGTTATGTCAAAATGCACATGCAGTCACTTGAAATAATTATGTAGCGGAAAATTCCTGATTATTTTCATTGTACGTCTAAGCCAGAAATGAAATGATCTAACTCGGAACTGGAACGCTGGGAAAAATGCATCAAATGCATTTTTGCGGAACGGGTGGCTTTTGTGGTCTTCATGTTTCTTACAAGACTGCTGGGCATCCGGGAGCGGGAGCAATCGCGTAAGAAACATGAAGGCCATGGTTCAGTCTCCCGCATAAAAGAAAAATGTTAAATCTTTTCGTATGTCAATTTTGAATACATTGTTTGATGTGCTGGCACTTCAAGAATGAAATGCAGTAAATAATGCAATATGACAATAATGAATAATGAGTGAGATGAATCACAGCCAATAAACGTTGACCATTTCTATACAACCTCGTGAAAAGGCCAAGTGTAATACCCGGCAATTTATTAAGCTAAAGATGAATAAAATAGAATTGGTTTTAATATGTTCCGCATCACAACTACACTTAAAACGTTCTCTGAGCAAATGCGGGCTGAAATAGTCTGTTTCACAGTCTTCTGGCATCCTTAAGGGTAATGGAAACGTTGGATGAAAGACGCGGGCAAAAGTTGCGAGAGGATGTTTTTCGCAAAGTTAGAGAAAAATGTTTTTATGTACAATAGTGTCGAACTCATTAAGCACGCAGATTTAATGAAATCCGAGTCGAAATTATTTTCGACATTTTTCTCAGCTGCTAGAAGTTGAAGAAACGAGCCAGCGGTGCATGACACTTTCGCGACAAATGAAGCTTGACAAATATCACTTACCGACCACAGGGCCAGGGGTGACGCTGCACCGCGCGACAGCGCAGACGATTAGCGGCAAGAACGCATTCTTCATTTCATGCACTCAGCAATGTCCATCACAGTTAGGAAAAGCGGGCAAAGAGGGCAGCGACGGGCCGATTAGGCTGACAGATGCAGCTGAAGAGCGCTTGGGCTTTCGGTGGTTGACACTCAAGCCGACTACTGGCAATAATCAATAGTGCAGCTGCAAGTCAAAAATATGCGAGTATGCAATCCGAAAACTATATAAACAATGGACGCTGTCCGGCGGCGTTCGAAGTACAGGTGCATCGCGGAAACAAGGGCGTTCTGGGACACGGGCACGCGGGCAGTACGGTAACGATCGATCGTTCGAGGTAGAACACATCACACCGCATCTTTGCAGAAGATCCTCGTCAGCAGCGCTTCCTCGCACAGTGTGGTCAAGAACTGCGCTCTCTCCTCACGCCGTGCGTCGGTTACGAGCGCGACTGCCACGATCGACTGACATCCACTGCTCGGTTTAACGCGCGGATTGATGACTCTCCCAGTCAACTGCCGCCGCGTCTGGTTCATGCTTTTACTGCAGCCAAGTATGTCGGTCTTGGTCGACATGACCGTCTTGTTTCATTTGTTGTTCTGGCCCTTTACCGACTCGTCAATGACAAAATTACATGTTTATATTACAATCTGCAGGCAGCGGCTTCAGCTTCACGACGTCAATCTATTTAAAAATGCATTCAATTATTTTTGTCTTATTTATTTATTTTCTTTATTTGATTCTCTCCCTCTCTGATCATTCACATCGGTTTTACGCTGCAACGCTTCATTCTGGTTAAAGTTGTTAAGTTGCTTCTGGTTAAATCAGACAGAAATTATGTAAAAACCGTAGCGATCGCGACGAATCAGCGTTGGAAATTGCAGCATATTTTATGACGTGAACATTGAGCTTCTCTCGTTAACATCTGACTGCCAGATTGAATACCTTCCCGCAGTGAAGCTATTACTGGTAATAAGGTTTCCAGCAACAACGCTGACGGAGGCTCGTAGTTTACTGCAAGAATTACCGACTTTTCCTGTTGTCGCTGTTCAAGAAGTTAGTTGTTGACTGCCGACTGACAAAATTCGTCATTGCAAAATATTGCATGCCAGACACCACTGAAGATGATAAGGTGGCGGTCTTATTGCTCACCCTGTGTAGTGTAGTATCAGATACGAATTCCAGTCCAAATTTCACATCTGCGTTATAATGCAATACCGTTCAAGCCCCTTTATTGTTGTTTTACGCATGATATACCATATAACTCAGTTACTGATTTAATGGCCATTACATGCGGTATTATCATGTGACATTAGAGACTTTGGGCTTAACATTCCATATCAACGCTTCATTCACAGCGCCAAGTCTTTGTAGCTAACAACAGAATGATGCAGAGGCAGTTATTGGTGCTTCGAAAGTCTTCCATACCATTGAATGAGGTAGAGCGTCAAGCTCAGAGTCCAGAAGCTCTATGTTCTAACTCCGGCAAAGTGACTCGCCTTTCATTTTTCTGAGCTTGGGAGCGAAACAGTAGGTTGCACCCTATATTTGCTATATAGCTATGAAAATTGCCTTTAAAAAAGTCACTTCTTGCTAATGCCGTAAAAATAAAGATTAGCGCTACACCGTAAGCTCCTTTGAATGAAGAGTGTTAGAAGCAGTACTCCTTGTGGCAGCGAAAAGGAAAATGACAACCCAACGGTTACAACTGTTTTTCCTTTACTTTCTTGCCGCTCTGTTTCGATATTAGTAGAATCTGGCACATCATTCCAAAGCTTATTTCGCACCTTCATTTTCCAAGGCAGGTTCATCTATTCGATAGACGAATCTCTGTCTTTCGGTTTTGCTGATCATCATGAACTTGAAAAGAGCATTTGGCAGTCCATTATATGGCAATCCGTCGACGCCTGCATCCTGCCTCTGCTTATTTACACTGAACCAGTGATATATGCGGCTCTGATAATGCCGATTTGCAGTAACTCTGCAGTAACCTTTCCACGCACCTAAAAAGTCGATTATTACGTCGATTTCTCGAGCTCTATCATACAGAAAATTCTCTCTGGTAAAACTATCGATATTAATCTTTAATTTAGTTGACTACTAACCTTATTATTGCTTTTACCATGAGCGAATGAGTTTGATTTTGTTTCCTGCTTCTGCGTCTGAACTATGGGATCAGTTC